TTCAGGGCACAGGCCTCTCATTACCCCCTTGGCAGAATTCTTCACAATAATTTCTCTTGTACCTGGAAGTCAGGAGTGATATTTATTCATTGATGGGCTGAATTTTTATGATCATACATTTAGTAGACATCTTGTGCAAACAGGGGTTTTAATTCCAAATACATAAAACTTCCCTGATATTTTGAGCAATAATTTTAGGGTACTTAAGCTAATGCTGAAACTGAATAGTCTTTTCTCTTTGATTCTATGTCCAGAGATGAGCCAGATCAAGAGTCTGAATCACTTGAGAAACTTTCCTATTTGTTCTTCATTATTATTCAGGGAGGCTGGTTTCTCAGTCTGGGGTTGTGTTGTGGTTTTGCAGATGGTTATGCAGAGATGAGATGAAGAAGAACAGGTGATTGGAAAAGGTGAGAAGTTGCTTTTGTGATGGCTGTGTTGGCTTGTGGTCATTTCAGATTGCCCATGACAGGTAGGTTGTGTAGAGGGGAATTCTCTGCACTGACACCTGGAGACACCTTTGGTTCCTAGCTTGGGTCTTCATTGGACAAAGTGAGTTGCAGATTCTTACTGCTCAACACAGAGGGCAAAAAGAATCACCAGACTTTGCCTGAGGTTTCCTTCTGCAGGTTTGGAAGGACTGTTACCCAGAAACTGCTTGTCTTTTGGTGATAAGGAAGAGCTGGAACATGAAAACCAGTGCTTATGTTGGCAGAGTGATTTTGAGTGGAAATGCAAAAGAAAAAAAGCCCCCAAAAGTACATAATAAGAAAACAGGCAGATAGCAGAGACCTTGTAGGGCCCACAGAGACAGGTGAGCTTGGACCTGGAGGGACAGGGGCAAAGAGCTTGACCTGCAGCTGCTGACTGACAGCAAAGAGCTTCCAAGAGTCTTCAGTGTGACACCACTACTGTTGTTGTGGCAGCTTTGATTAGTGGTTACCATCTTCCCTAGCTGGGAATGAAGTGGGTCTCTGTTCCCTTGGGAATACAGAAGTTATTCATTTTTTCCCAGAAGAGGGGAGAGTGCTGCTTGGAAGGCCAGCCCTGAGTGCTGTGGTGTGTTTTGCGTGGTTACTGCTTGGGAGTGGTGGTGTGTCCCGGCGGCTGGGCACCCCTGGAATTGTTCTCTAGGTGAAGTCTATGGAGCAGCCTGTGCCAGGCTGGACAGCTCTGCTGGGATTGTTGTCTGGACAATGCTCTCACTGTAAAGCTGTAGGGCGGACACACAGAATATGTTATGGAACAGTGCTTGCTGTGTCCCTGGCTTGGCATGCCTTAGCAGGCTCTGTGTTGTGAGCACTTGCCCATGAAGCTGCCAGAAATAGATGCCTAATGGCAGAGAATTTAGGAAAATTGGTCTCAGCCATGTAAAGATGCAGGTTCAGAGTGAGATTTCAGGTTATAGAGGAAGCAACTGGGGAGTCACCTCTCAGTAGCTGGCTGAGAAAACAGTCTCAAAGCACCAGAGTGCTTGGTTTTATTAAGTACTAGGGTGTAATAATTAGTTACTTGTTACTTAAGTAACATTCTGATAGCTTTATTAATAGTAATTCTTAAACCAGCTTCCTTACATGGATGTTGAATTTCAGGTGTGGTAGTGCAAGAATCTTGAAAAATGTACTTGCTTGGGAAAACCCATGTTGTCTTTGTATTTTGAGCAGTGCTCTGCACATATACTAGAGTTTGGAAATAAGTTGGGAGTTGTTCTTGTAACATGACACACAGGTGAACTGCACTGAAGTCAGTCTTCAAAAGAGCCTTTAGCATGGCCTTATCCAGTATTAATTTTCAGACTGAGGAGGAAAAAATAATATTTTCTTTGTAGATTGTTATGTTGTAAGTACTGAGAATTGCATCTAAAATCAGTACTTAAGTCAAGGGATAACTGTGCACAAGCTTGTTACAGGCATTTTCTGTGCATAGGTTTTCATTACTTGTTCCAAGATTGAAGAGTTGTACAGAAATACCTTGTTAGAAGGAAGATGGTTTCATTTTTATATGTGCAGTGAGAGGCTGCTTAGATGTGACTGCAGCTTCTGAAAAGTGTCATTGGTGTGGCTTCTGGTTTTGGCTGATGCCATTTGAGAAGAACATGGCACTGATCCTGTTTGGCTGTGAGAACATGTGAACTCACATACTTGAAATATGCCCACAGGAGAATCCCATTATGTGCATGTGGAATCTGTTGGGTTTGTAGAAGGTTATTTAAATTTCAGTTAAAATTACAAATTGGTTTGCAAGACACTGTCATTCTGAATACTATTAAAAAATGGAAGTAACCTTACTTTGTTATTCTTTCATATGATAGTCATTTGCTTATTACCTCTAACCTAGATTAATGTGTTAGGGAGTATTTATGTGGGATCAAGGATTTTTAGTCTCTTAATGAACTGCCCATCCAGTCAGTAGTTAGGATCTTACGAAGCAGTTCTGGTTTCAGGTCTTGTGCAATACCTTAAATGATGTAGGGAAATGTAATGTTTAAAAGATGCAAGGTTTTATTACAATGAGATTCACTTTGGCATTATAAAATTATCCTTCAAGTTTGCTTGTGGGTTACTTGTGTTGGAAACTTTGCATGGAATCTGGAGATGCCTGAGCTGCTCTCTTGGTTCAGCCTGTCACACTCTGTGTGTTTTGCCTTGTTCTTTTTCCAGCTGCCTGAGGAAGAAGGAAAGTGTGACTGTATCTCCCTGGCCCTGTTTTTGGAATATCAGTGAATATGAATTTCCCCAGACCATTATCCTGGTAGCAGCTTGGAGCTTTTAGGTTGTCCTGTTCCAGGATCTCTCTGAGGGGTGGTGAGGAAACATCTCTGGTCTGTGATGAGTTTCTAATTACTCTGTTGGCCATCACTTATGCAGGGTGGAAGGACTTTAATTCTCATTCCTGCCGTGCACAGAATCAGCAGGTTGCAGTCCTGAGCACCACTGCAGCCTGGCAGCAGGGCTGGGATGTGTTAGATCATTGTTTAACATGGGCTTGCATTTCTTCAGTTTCTTTCATCAAACCAGAGGGCTCTCAGTTTTAATACAAAACTTATGGAATGTGCATAGGGCTGATCCATGGTCCATGTATCATCTCTGTTTTATGAATCTTTCTAACATTTACAGCGTTGTTTTGACTAATGTTTAAAACTGTGACAAAATGGCATTTTAATTATCATAGCCTCCAGTGTTGTCACTGAGTGAAGAATTATGAAGAAAACATTGTTCATCTCAAAAGTATTTGCCGATTTGTGAAGATAAAATTTTATGAACATAAGTTAATAAAATTCATTGCATAACCCTGGCCATGTTTAATCCATTCTGAAATGGCATTAATTTTATTTTTCTCATAGATGTGGAGTTTCTGAGTATCTTTTAACAGATGAGTTCCACTATTTATTCTCAAACCCAAACAATACAAAGCTTTCCTTTCCCTTTGTGCAGGGCTGGATGAGGGAATGCTTCCCTCTGAAGTCAGAGTTAGAAACAGGACATAGACCAGTGGGATTGTCCTCAGGCTGTTTCCTTTGGTGCAAGTTTAGCTGTAACCATGGCATGAAAATAATGTGCTGTGAGCTATATTGTATATAACCTGAACGTTTATATGCGTACTGGTTGTAAGTGCTGAGTTATTATGTTGCATGTATTTGCAATTCACTATATTGATCTTCATGGATGCTTTTTAGGCCTCTGTTCCACAGCCTGGTAACTGCAGGTCATAAATACAAAGAAAATACAATATTTAAAACTTAAGATTGTCTTGATGTGTTGGCCAACATTATGAGAAAATAAGGTACCTGTTTTTTACTTTTACTGTGGAGCTATGTGAAAGTTATTAATGGTAATTAACCAAAGCAGTTTCTAATTTCTTAAAAGCTTATTGCACAAGTATTTAATTCCATCTAGAAAAGGCAGTCTTTTTGTCAGTGATATTTAATATTGAGTATCTGTAGTAGAAGATTCACGTTTGTGTTTATATAGTAAAAGAAAATATTCTAAATTGTGTATCTAGTGGTTTGGTAATTATCTCTGAATTGCTTTTGAATTGGGAATGGGATGAGTGTTTCTTTAACTGTCTCGTATCTTCAGTTTTTATTTGCTCAATGGTACTTAATTTGGAACAATAACGTAATTCAATTATCTTTGTTCCGTATCCATAGCCTTGCTGAAAATAGGATTTTTGGTTGATTTCAGAAGTATTCAGTTATGTCTTTTGTAGGATAAGACAAATGCGATTAACATTGTGTATTATTCTTGTTCTTTTCCATTACTTTAGCACAAGTTATGGAAAAGCTGTTGGGAGTTGCAGAGTGACTCCCTCTTGCCTGCTGTGCCCCTCCCAGCACAGTGGCCTCTGCTGCATTAATGTTCATATTTCCATGCTTTAAACACGGTGTGTTACATTAGGAAATCAGTCAGATAAAGCTGGGTTTAAGCTTCCTGCTGAAATGTCCATCAGTAATCCTGCACTGAGTGATCTGCAAGATGGAGTAGGGAAGTGATCGTGTGTAGTTTAATAAATGCGTGTTGCTGCTTGTTCTGAGGTTTGGGCTTTGGTTTTTGGGGGATTTCTTTTATTTGTTTGGGGTTTTTCCCCCCAGCTAAGTGAGCTTTAACTGCCATGCTGCCACTCTGAAGATGTAAGAAGTGTTATGGAAAACAGGTTACTGTTATTGACATGCAGGTTTTGCAGTAGCTGCATCTGAAGTAATTTTAATGAGTTTGAGGAAAAAAACCCTGAATCTGGTGAGTTCAGAATAAATTACCACAAGGCTTTTGAGTTGTCCTTCGGTGACTGTGCAGGTTTTTCATGCTGCAGCCTTGAATATAAAAAGTTAATTCACAAGCTGCAGGTTTTGTGTTTTACATGAGACAAGAACTTCAGAGGGAGCTCCCATGATTTGTCATCCGGTTCTGTATTCGTATTAAAATAAGAAAAAGAAATAGCAAATGGCACTGGAGAAATGGACACTCAAAATGACAAGCCTGCCTTCTTTTTTCCAATTCCAGGGCATATTCCCTTGTGGATTCCAGTCAAGTGTCTACCTTCCTGATTTCTATTCTCCTCATAGTCTATGGCAGTTTCAGGTAAGATTTTCTTTTTAAGGTTCTGCAGAGTTTTTATTTTCCAAGTAAAAATATTGCAAGTGACTGAATACAGTTTATGCCTTTTTGTGTCATTGTATCTTTGTAAGACATAGCCAACATAAAAAAAAATTATTTGCTTCAGAGGAGGAAATGGAAAAGAAGAAATAACAGCAAGCTGGGGTTTCTGAAAGATGTAATTGTTTGTCATGGTAAAAGCACATATAAGATAGCTTAAAAGTCAGTCCTTGAGGACAGCTCTGTAAAATCATATTTTAGAGAGTAGAAAAGGATTGTTGGGACAGGTAGAAGGTAATGTTCTCGATAGCAGAGTTTCCTGTACATTAGCCAGTGGTGGTCCGTTGTAAATGCTCTCCTGTGATTCCCAACCTGTCCTGTAGATCAGCGATCCCCGGTCCCAGTGCCGTGTGCTGGAGTGTCACAGCCTCATGGAGAAGTGGGAAGCACTGTCAGCATCTGAGAACTGCTGCAGGATGAGTTTGAGTCTTCAAAAATCAAATTTGCCTCATTTTAGGAGACTTGAGTATAGTTTAGAGAAAACACAATTATCCTTTTAGACTTGCATGCTGTATTATACAGTTTGTTTTACTGTAGTGGCACCTAAGGAATGAGGCTTGCACTGACACATTAAAACAACAGAATGACAATATGTAAGTGGTTTCTTTTAAAACTTACATACAACATGGTTTTCTTTCTGCTTCTTAAAGAACATTGCTTCATTTCACTGTGACAAAAGGCCTTATGCTCACTACAGAGTCTCTGAACTGCTCTGAGTATTCCTGAAATAGATGATAGCTGTGCTCATCCATATGATGTAAGCTGCAGCTGTTTTAGGATAAGAGGTTTTATATCACTACTGTAAGTTAATAAAGTCATATAATGAAAGAGACAATTTTTTTGCAAGAGCTGTCTGTTGTTGTTAGCAAGTGTTAGGTAACAGCACTGCTGGTGAAATTAAAACAGAAGGCTTTAGGAAAACAAAATTTAGAGATTATCAGAATAAAAAATTAATCAAAGGTTGGATTTGTTTAGTTTTTTCTTCATGTTTGGAGCCAGATTAGCATATAGTTGAGGGACTAATTAAATTGTTAACTATTTGAATTTATGCTATTGCGTAAAAAGGAGCTATGCATCTGGCTGCAAGAAGCAATAGCATTTATTAAAATTCAATTATGAAAACATAGTGCAATATAAAACAGCAGGAGTGTGAACTTCAATTCCTTGTCTTTCTTGGAGCTCCTTGCCCTTCAAAATTTTCCCCTGCTGTTTGACATCCTCTTCCTATTGGTAACTACACATGCTCTTAGCATTTTGTCCTATACTTCACATTTAAAACTCCTCACCTAGCAAAGACTCACCTAGCAGTCTGACTCACTGGATGGAGTAGTGGGATGGTGATGGATACAAACCCATTGAGGAAATGTCCTGTTTTAGTCTTTTGCCTTTGCGTGCATCCTGAGGACCCCACAATGTAAGTTACAGACCAAAGTAGGGCCCCAGAGTTTTAAAATTACTTTCCTAGTTAATTTCCTATATGTGGTTTCTCTAGCAGGTGTTTGAGCTGAAACGCACAGTTATGTTGGGGACTTGGACAAACTGATGGCCTTTGATCAGTGAGTGAGGTCAAAAGCAGTTTTTTACAGAAAATTGTGCAGTAGTGCTAACAAACAGGTCTGAAACATAATTAAGTTATTTAAGAAATTGAAGTGTGGTAGTAAGTTACAAAATTATATTCATCTGGAAATTCTTAAAGTAGTAAAATGAAAACTTTTGGCAAAGCAGATGAATTTTCTTAGAAAACTGATGTGCTGGAAAGATAAAAGTTACAGCTTAGGGTGCTCATTCTCATCTGTCAGCAGTGGTGTGTTCATCTGGATTTGAGTGCTTGTCTCCTGCAAAGCTGTTGGAAGCCAAAAAGAAAATAGCACTCCTCAGTTAACCTTTGTGTTGCAGAAGGTGGGTTTGCTTTCTGATTTTCAACTCAAAAGAAGCAGGTAGAGTTGTTGTGGCTGAAACAGAAGTGCAGTAATAGGATCAGAAAGAATTGGGTGTGTGAGTCATCAGGATAAAATCCACGTGTGTGGTGGATCTAATCTAAGGCAGGCAATGTCAGAGGAACAAAGGAAAACCTTGGTCCACTGTCCTTATTAATAGAAATAGCATTTGTCCAAAACAAATGAAAACATCCCAAACCCCCAGTATACTCAGAAGAATGTGTAATAAATTGTGGGTAAAGCCCAGAACCAGAACAAAGTGCAGCAGCAGAGCTGAGTTCCCCTTCTCTGACTGTGCATGAGCGAGCGTTTCCTGCCTACGTTTGTGCCGGGTCAGGAGTTTCAGCTTCCAGCCCTCCTGAACGTCTCTCTCATTACAGTCTGACTGCTCTCAGTCCTTGAACCTGATGTACTTTTATTACTGCCTGCCAAAGGGGCAAGTCTAATCCTTTAAACCATTACGAGCTGTAAACTGGAGCAAGTAGATGTGTTAGTTGTGGATCTTTAAAGAGGTGAGCTCAGCTTGAGGCAGGTTGTCTCTGAGGGCAAGACAGCCACCTTTTTGTCCAAATGCTTCTCTGTGACTTTAATGTTGGGGTTACTTTGCAGGTATTGGCTAAATCTTTTTCTATCCCATCACATCCCCAGACATGGGCTCTCAGCTTATGTAAAGCCAGATTTAACCCAGTATCTACCTGTTCAAATACCTGCTTTTGAGCTGAACCAAGAACTGCGGGATGACCCTGGGGCCTTCTCTCTCTGGGCTTTGAGTATCCAAAGTGTGGGTGTGAATAGAAAGTAGCTCACACGGTGAACCCAGTGTCCTGTGAGCATGGTGTGCTGAGGGCTGTGGCATTCCCCTGCTCCCAGAGCTCTCGGGTGGGTGCCTGTCCTCACTGGCAGAGCAAGGAGGAACATCTCAATAAATTGTATCTGCAGGTGCCTCTATAGATAGATCCTTGTGTTCCTATTTTCTCCATTGCTTGATAAGAAATCTCCTGCAGGGTTTCCCTGAGGCATTTCTGCAGTGGAGTGATCCATAGTTGAATCTGAACTTTGCAGGCAGTGCTGTGCCAGCAGCTTACTCATTCCTTTGGCCTCAGCGTAACCCTCCCCAGGGGCTCCCTGTGAGAGGGTGACTCGCTTTGCTTTGAAACCCTGCACTGGAAATGCAACCAGCTGGAGCTCTGAGGACCCACAGCAGAAACAATGGAGCAGCTCAGTGCCCCAGGGGAGATGCTGACTCAACACTCCCTTTGGGAGCCCAGGAGAAACTTGAACAAAACAGCAAATGTTTCCCAGCTTGCCATTTCTCTACAGCCCAGTAGTTTTATCTTGTTTTACAGTATGATTTTTAACTTTCTTGGAAGGTGTTTTAGTGATAGCTTCTCAGGCTTTTTTATTATGTTAGAGATAATTTGTAGCAGAGGAAGAGCCAAATCTTAAAACGCTTGGAAGTTATTCAGAGGTTGGCTTGGAAGAGCAGCTGTGTTGTTAAGTGAAAGTAATTTCCTAATTTATGCATATTTTGGAGGCAGGGATATTTATAGGTAATAATAATTGCTGACACTGTGGCAGTGAAAAGAAAGGGGCTGAGGTTGTTTATGAGCAGTAGATCTGATAGGTTTTATTTCCAATTTTCTCTGCTGATAGAAATCCCTTAAATTACAAGTTGCTGGATGCCACTGGGAGAATGATGGTGTGAGGGGTCTTGCTAAACTGTGCTAATTCAGAGGGGAAGAAAACACTGCACTCAGAAAAGAATTATCTTGTTTGTCTGAATCTTGGACCAAGTCCTGAAGGGCTGTCAGCCTCCTCCCAGATTTTTATAGCTTGAGAGGAAAACTGTAAAGCTACAATGCATAATGGGGAAAAAGGGAGTGAGAATGAATGGTGGAGGCACTCCAAACAAAGGGCAGAGCAAAGAGATCTTTAGAAGAACAAGCTAACAACAACAGATTAATTTGTTAGAATTTTAGTGTTCTCTATTGCCTCTTTGTATTTTCCATAACTCTTTAGCTGATGATCTATGATCTGTGTAGAAGCACTATGGGTCTGAGGTGGAAGCTTCCTCATGTTTTGCCTGAGACCAAAAGCTGCTTTAATCTCATAACACTGTTGGGGGGCATTTGCTTAATAGAAGCAAAGGAAACAAACCAGTTCTGTGCTGGAAGAGCCTTTTTCTTGGTTTTGTTTTATGGAGTAAAGCTGCTCAACCCCTCTGTCTTTAATACACCACATGTGTCTTGATCCTATAGACCTGATTGTGCCTAATTCCAGATTCTGGGGCTGCAGCACAGACTTGCTCACCTGTGCATTGCAGTAGGTGATCAATGCACTGCAATAAAATATCTGTGACACTTCTAGAATAGCTTAGAAGACCATGGTGTATTTATTACTGGTCTGATAAATGAATAGAATTTGTTTAATTTGTGTAACTTAGTTAAGGTAAACTTGAAAAGAAGTTTAATGCCTGTTGACTGGAAGTTTTATTGAAATACTTGGATGCTGCTGTAAGCTTAAGACAGGAGCTGTACAGTGGGAGATGCACAGTGCTTCTGGTGGTTCTCTGTAGCTAGTTTGAATAAATCAATATGCAGCTAAATCAGGGATACCATACATGTATCAGTGAGAAACTGTCGTGGTAAACTTGGATCGCTGGTATTTTTTGTTAAAAAGCACACTGAATTTAACAATATAAATTATTGCTGGTCAAAAAAGACCTTAAGTGAAATTCCCCCTTTTCAGAAAGTTAAGCCAGATGTGTTAGAATATAATTTGGAAGTTGTATCAAAGTGAAGGACTGTGACAGAAGGAGTAGAATAGTGTCCTAAACTGGAACTTTAAAAAAGTGTTTATATCAACTTGAAAAGATGAATCAGTAACAGCTGAGCTGTCTACTCAGGGGAGTGTTGTCAGCTCCTATGGATTAATAAAAGTGTATTAAATTGTACTGTTTATTCAGAGCTTCCTCTAGTCATCTGTGTGCATGTGAAATATATATCTGGTTATTTTTGAGGCTTTGCTGAAATTTTTTCAGTGAAGTAAGACCTTACATTAAGCAGACACTTAAAAGCTATTTCGGGTCATTCATAAGAACATTTCAAGGAAAGAAATATTATTGTCTTAAAAATGAAACCTGATAGTCAAATTTGAAAGAAAAGGAAAAAAAAGAGAACTTGGAAAGAGTTCAGATTTTGAATTGAAATGTTTATTGTGCTTCCATCATGTTCTGCACTTCCCAGAAATCAGGTAACAACAAGCAGCAGCACAGATATTCAACAGTCCCCAGTGTAGACACTGTGGTGACTGATCCCACTGTCAGAATCTGGGATGTGGGGCCTCATTTGGAACCAAGCACTGCAGTTATTTTAATTTCCCACTGTGTCTGGTGTTGTTTCTAATAACCAGCATTGCAGGGCTTTTCCAGGGGGAGGGTGCTGTGGCAGTGGGAATGAGACTGCAGCTGATGAGCCTAAACAGGCGTTTGGAACTCATTGTCACATTTGCCTTGTTCCCTGCAGGTCTCTGAACATGGACTTTGAGAATCAAGACAAAGAGAAAGACAACAGCAGCGCCACTGGGTCTTTTAATGGCAACAGCACCAATAACAGTAAGGATCAGCTTTACTCCTTACCCTTCCTGCTTCACCTCAGTGCTGCACCTCCTGCTTCACCTGTGTGTGTGTCTGAGCTGCTGCATTGCAGATTCACCTGATCCCACCTCGCTGTGCTCCGACACTGCTGTCCACGGCTGGGTCACGCCCGTGGAAGCTGAATTTAAAACATCAACATAACATTTCCATAATGCATAAAAATTGCATGTGGCACAATTTGTCAGGTTTGACTGGAAATGGAAACAGCTTTACTTTGAAAAAAGCCATCCCACAGTTAGGAGAAGGGAGTATAATTCCTTTTTGGCTGGAGCTCATTGCTGTGGCATGTTGGCCAGTCTGTAAGCAGGGAGTGATTGCAGGGTGCACTGACAAATCCCTAAGGGGGATTCACCTCATCAGTAGAGACACTGAAGTAGAGTTCACATGGCTCTGGACAACTCATTTATAATGGACAACAAAGTATGTGTCTGCACACTGTCTATTCAGAGTGGGATTAACATGTCAGCTCCTGCGTGGTGACTGTCCCTTCTGTGGTCGATAAATAGATTGCAGGCAGCTTGGCCATCTGACATGCACAGTTTTACAGGTAAAAATATGGAGCCAATCAGTTGAGTGGAACACAGCGTGCACAGTGTGTTGTAAATTCATGCTTGAGTTTAACTGAAGGCAATTTATATTGCCATATTTTGAGAAAAGGTTCTAGAGTGAAATAGTTCCCAGCGTATAGAAGGCAGGAGTAAGAAGCCCTGTGCATGAAACCCTGAATGCTAAGCTTGTTTTGTTTAAAGCAAGAAGTGTAGCTTTAAAATGATGAATGAAATAACATATTTGTATGTGTCTCTTGCTGGTTTTGTCTTTCTAATGTAGATTCTTGGAATTTAAATAGTTGTCACAGCACTGCTTCTGTTGGCAGCACAGAGCAAAGAGGTTGCTGTGCTTGGTGATACAGCAATGAGCATTTGAGGCTTTTGGCATCTGGGAAGGAAGAGAAGACAGTCTGGGGCTAGGGAATAAGCACATTAAGGAGATTAGCTGTCAAAATGATCAGAAATTAAATTAAGAACTCTGACATTTAATGTTGCAGGCACTAATTCCCAGATGCCAAGGTGGTGTGCAGTGTGTCATTTCTGGGTTTTTCTTTTGTTTGGTTTTTCCCTTGGGAAGTTGAAGGACATGTGAATAAATGTGCTTTCTCAGAGCAGGAGGAATCAGATCTAAGTCACAGATGAGAATTTTGGTGTCTTCACACTGTCATCACTGGACTATCTACATTGTACTTTACCTTAATGTACCAGACCTCAGCAATGTAGAAATCCCAAGAGACAGAGTTATTCTGCTTTTTATTTTTAAAATTTATTGTGCTACTTATGTTTAAGAGTAATAGATAATTATATGAACTAACAAATGACATGACCATGTGCAACTGTCATGACTTTCATGCTTTTTGTTCAGCTTTTCTTTTATGAAAATGGTTGAATATTTATAACAGATACTAAGTTGTAGTGAGTGTATTTCATGTGTGATTGAGGCTTTTCAGTGTAATTAGATACATTGGTAACTGAGTCATACAGGTAACCTGTTATTTGTATGACTTGCCACTCTTCACAGGAAACAATAAATAAGACACATTGTCAGACAGAAACACAGACAAACAATCTGTGTGTATATTTACTTGACTGCATATGTCTCACAACCCTAAAGGCCTTCAAATCCTAGGATTGCTAAAACCCCCTTCATACAGCAGTGTTTAATTACTTTAGGATACCACAGTTGATGTCAAGCTGTTTTTTTTTCTATTGGTCACATACCAAGTGACTACTTCAGATGTTCCCTATTTTCACTTTACTGCTCCGCAAGTAGAAGTGTGTCTTCTATTTCTAATTGGGTTGCTGCTTATGGCTTCTTCCACCTGCCCCAGGGAATCAAATGTATATATAGCTACAGAGACTGGTTAAGTCTTGGAATTTGTGGGGTTAGGTGGACTTCTCAATTTTGCTGATCATTCTGAAAACTCAGAAATACAGTAAAAGTTGTCCTCTCCCATGATTAACATCCCTGGTAGTCACTAGTCACACTGCATGAGTGAGTTGAGGGAAATACTAAGAATAAAATAATTCAGTATTTCTGCCCTGCTGAAAATTACTGCCAGTTATGAAATGCAAGCCTGAATTTGTTGTTTTTTTGCAAAAGGCAATTACAGTGCACTTCACTGTCCTGGTGGTTTCATAAACAGGTAAATAACTTGGGTATTTTTTTGAAAACTGCCCCTTATTGTTAAGCTTGATATTATCTCATGATTGCAGCCTGTAATGAAATTTAAGAGCATAGTGGCCTTCGCCCAAGTGGAATTTGAAGCTGTGGCACCCTTTGCATGAGCTGGGTCAGCCTAACACTGGTCAGGCTTTTCACCTTGTGTTCAGAGATTAAGTAAACCTTACATATGCTCTGTTCAACACATTTATGTGTCTCAGTGTAAAGTGATTCTAATCCCTAAATAATGTTAATTTTCACAGCTTGTCTTTCACTCTGTCTGTGGCAGGAGATCAGAGTGAACTTTCAGTTCTGCAGAGCGGGGCCGTTGCAGTGCTCGCTCAGCTGGAGCAGCTGTGCTGGGCGTGGAGAGCACCGAGTCAGAGCCTGGTGCAGCAGCACTGAGAGGAGCGTGCTGTCCGAGCCCTGCCCTGTGCTGGCCTGTGTCCCTGTGTGCCACCAAACACGAGCTCAGTGTCCCCTCTCTCCTGCAGGTATTCAAACCATCGATTCCACCCAGGCGTTGTTCCTGCCCATCGGAGCGTCCGTGTCTCTCCTAGTTATGTTCTTCTTCTTCGACTCAGTTCAAGTTGTCTTTACAATATGCACAGCAGGTGACTAAGTTTTCTTGTCTTTATAAGATTTGGAATAGAACAGAAAGTATTGGTATAATTAAATTTTGTTGGTAAGAATTATAATACATATCACAGTACATTAAAAAGAAGAATTGTCAGGTTTCACAGTTGTATTTTCATGTCTGTGTAGCTATAAATAAACAAGTATTATTTGAGAAGTATTTTCCACTGAGAGATGTGCTGAACCTACTGAACTATAAATTGCCAGAGGTCTAAACGTGCCCAGATGTGTTGTTTTGCATGAAGTTCACTTTTATAAATCGATGCTCAGAACTGTACATGAAGCACTTCATGGGAAATAACTTTGAGGATCCTGTCCAGAGACTTTTTTCCTACTTTAATTTCGGTTTTGCTTTAATACAGTTTCTCTGTTTCTGGTCTCACTAACATTTGAATATTAGTCTCGTGCACTGCTTGAATTTAGAACAAAATTGAAATTTACCTGCAAATAAGTTGCAGATCCTCTAGTCCTGTTTAAAATTCACATTTTGTCTTTTAAATAAATGCCAGGGCATCGCTTTTTGGAAAATTTTGGCCTATTATATTTTTACAATTCTTAAGAGACCAGCTGCTGTTGAGAGTAGCAAGATTCTTCCTACTGCTGCAGATACACAGCAGCTTCTAAAAATTGTACTCACTCCACATACTGAGTCTGTGAAGATTTTTAAACTCCTGAATACCCCTCATCCTCTCCTACTTCACTGCAGGCTTTGCCCTTATGGTTTAACTCCTGAGCTGTGCCAGCCTCTTAAACAGGGCTGATATTGATGGTGAAATTTAAATCTGTAGTCTTGAGATGCCTGTCTAATTCTACCTCCTGTAGAGACCTGTTGAATTCTGCTTTTATAACTTATGACATGTATGTTCTTTCCTATTAAAAAAATACTTCAGATAGATTCTACTGTATGCTAGATATGAGAGAAATATATACAAACAAATATTTAAGATGTTCCGAGGAAAGATTTATGACAAACGAGGAATTTTAACTTGTTGGGGTTATTGGTATATTTATTTTTAAAATGACCTTGGATTTTGTAATTTTATTTTAACACTTCTGTGTGTAACGAGAGGATCCTGTGTCCCTTGGGGTTTGTTGTAGGTCTCAGGGGACTGGGGGTCAGTGCTCTTGGGTATCTTTATTCTTGAACCTGGTTTTATGGTAGGTTCATGCTCTACCTTGGGCTTGCATCAGGGGAGGGACCCTGCTGGAGTTGCAAACCTGGGGCTGTGGAACTTGGTCCCACCAAGCTCAAGTCATGCTATTTTACATCCTCTGTAGCTAGGAGGGGCTGATGTGGGGGACTTCTAAATTACAGCTGATGTCTGGTTTCTTAAAGCCCTCTCAAATCTTCCTCTCACAGAGATTTGCCTTTCAGGGAAGAGTCAGGAGCAGTGTAGGTGCAGCAAGCAGCCAAGGCCAGGACCCAGTTCTTGGCAGAGGGCAGAGCCCCAGAGCTGGCATTGCCTGCAGACAGGAGTTAAGCCAAGGGACTCCCAGCTGGATCATGAGGCTGGAGGGGACGGGAGCCTTGGGGCTGGAAGCCTGAACAGTCAGGAGCCACGCTGGGAGCAGCTCCTTGGTGCAGTTGAACTCCCACCCTGAACGAGCCCAGCTTGGGGACACTGGGGCAGGAGGTGCAGGGCTCCCTGCTGGGCAGAGCTGGAGGGGAGGAGAGGAGAGGAGAGGAGAGAGTCCAAGGGCAAAGAAGGTTGAGCCTGTCCTGGGGGGCCAGGGTAGGGAGCAGGGAGGGTGGGCAGCACTCAGGGCAGCAGGGGCACAGGGTTCCTGGGCAGTGTTCTTTGCCAGGCACCTCCAAAGAGGTTCTTAGTGCAGTTTGTGCAGAGGTGCCACAATGTTCATTCTTTCCCTACCGCTGTGGTTTTCTTCCCCCCTCTGAAATCTTGCTAGAACTGTTGGGTTTTCATAGTGCTGTTTGTATGCAGACACTTTTGAAATTCTCTTTTTAGAGTAAGTTCTCCTTTTTTTGTTTTGTTTCAAATCTTCCTCCCACCAGAAAGGAAAGATGTGGTTTGACCAAAAGAATTTTTCTCTGGTTGGCTTAAACTGTGTAGAGAACAGCTTGAACTGTAAGACCATGTTTGATTCTGTCCCATCGTCTTCATTTGAGAAGAAAAATCCCTTTTAAAAACCAGCAACAAAAATTTTTAAAGGAAGAAGTAGAAGACAGCACAAAGATCTGAATTGCAGCATGCAGAAAGTTCCAAAACTTCTATTTTCATGGCAGTCTGTTCTTGCTGCAGTTTTGGATGTGTGCTGCTGACATGTCTGTGTCTCCACGCCCTGGTGCTCCATCCTTTTAAATAGTCCTTTAAAAAAACTGGAAGGAAAAATGATTATGAATACCAGCAGTTACAAAATGTTTTTAAAAATGTGTGGGTGGGATAAGTATGCTGCTTGAAAAAGAAAATGTTTATGGAAATAGTCTGTTTGGATATTTATGTATTTTTATCATTCTGTTTTCAAAAACCTAAAGCACTTTATATTTTAAAAAACTGAGGTTGTCAGCTACTGACTATAAGTTATCTGAAGTTGTACTGTGTTTTAGTAATGAATAAAGAGTTTTGAGTGAGATGGGAGAAGAAATTACTATCCAAGTTAAAAAGTGGAAAAAACCCCTCTATTATGCTGTGTCTGTGTCATATGTTGAAAATTTGTAAGAAAATCTCAGAACTAATTTGTAGTAGTTTTTTTTTTTTCTCAGAATGTGAAAATTGGGGTTTTTTTGCTGACATGATCATGAATAAATTTAAGACTTTTTTTTTTAGGGTTTGGGGATGGGGCATTGCATTCCTTTGAGAGCTTTTGTTTTATTTCAGTCTGAAGGCTCACTTTGTGCAGAAAACCTCAGAGCTTTGAGCTGCTCATGCTGGAATAATACTGAGCATATGATAATAGGACATTGTTGCAAGAGCTTTTTCAAATTGGAGAAGCATGTTTGTGTACTGTAGAAATTAGGTCTGAATGTCCTAATATTACCTTTTCTTCTTTTCATAGTCCTTGCAACAATAGCTTTTGCTTTCCTTCTGCTCCCGATGTGCCAGTACTTAACACGGCCTTGTTCACCTCAAAACAAGTAAGGACTTGAGCAATCCTTTGCTCCTCTTCTTGTGTGTTATATTTCTTTCTTTTAATGAGAATTCTTTAATAAGCATTAACCTCAGGACTGATGTTTGTGCAGTTTTTTTTGTGCCAACATTATGCTTCCACTGTGAAAGTAGGAAGCACAATTTCTGTACATCGCTTGCCAGCCTGGGAAATGTAATACCATTACATGGGTCTAGATTTTCCAACAGTGATTTTTAATAAGTTTGGCTTCTTTTGGCTGAGACTTTAGAGTTTGGGCTTGGCATTGGATTTTAATGTTTGTTAACATTGGACTCTGGATTTTAATGGCGGCTTCTTTGAAGACTGTAGTTAATGCAGTGGAAATTACAGTTGTTAGTGTCTTGTTTTGAAACTAATTTTATTTTTTAACCTTGTGATTTGAGTTCATATTGCTAAAAGCACTATCTTAGGTGGTGCTAGGAATGTTGGCAATTTCAAGAGAGGTGCCAAGATTTACAGGATTTTTTCCATATCTGCAGTTCATGCTTCACACACAGTATTTGAATGTGAGGAAGGCTTTTATTTTGTTGCTGTTTTGGTACCTATTTGTGGCAAAGGAACTTCCCTTCAGTTGTTCTTGGCACCTTTCATCAGCACTTGAGCCATGTTCCAACAGTGTCCATTTTCTGTTCTTTAAATGGAAACATAAAGTCTTCCAGCTGATGTCTGTGTGTTGTTCTAGGATTTCCTTTGGCTGCTGTGGGCGTTTCACTGCTGCTGAGTTGCTCTCGTTTTCTCTGTCTGTGATGCTTGTCCTTATCTGGGTGCTAACTGGCCACTGGCTCCTAATGGATGGTGAGTATGTGAATTAAGGGGTTTTACTGCTGGTTTGTGCCTCTTCTGACACATGTGCCTGGTGATGATGGGTGAAATTTGCTATTATTAATGGCTTGGCTGCTGAGCTGTGTGGCAGACTCCCTGAAGAGCCACTGCCAGCAACATGGCAGGGGAGTGCTTGGAACACCTGTTTTTCTGGTTTGTAAAAGCTTCCAGGGAAGTGCCAGAACACTCCTGCAAGATATTCTGCACCTGTGTGGTGTAGGGTGAATGGCCAGATTGAGTTAAAGATGTGTGGAGACAGTGGTTGTTTATGATTCATAGCTTGATTCTAAAAATTGGATTAATTTTTGGTGTGCATCTTGTTGTTTATTGGTTCTGATGCTCAAATGATTTGTTGTGAAGCAGCTCACAGTAGTTGGTTGGCTTTGATCTCTGCGATGCTGGCCTTGTGTGATGAGATGGGCGAAACTGGCAGTCAGCCAGCTGGCTTGAGGGTGTGATTGATTGTGGTTTTTTTCATGGTGGTTGACCTGAATTCACAGCTTACTATTCCAAAAAGGAGCCTTCCTCCTTCCCTCCTGCCTTCCAGATCTCTTGTGCTAGCTCTGGCACTTAGTTAATCACATGGTAAACTGATCCAGCTCACTAGAATGGCAGCATACTTGGGTTTTGCCAGCCTGTTTTTCTGCAGCTGCAGTGAGATGAATTGGATTATTTTGTAGTCAGGTGTGTGCTAAATTTGGCAGAAGGTAAGTGGCAGATGATGGAATCTGAGGGGATGGAGTGGGTATAATAGCAAAGGCAAGAAGGAGTAGCCAGGAGCAAGACCTCTGCTTCTCAGCAGTGTCAGGCAGCTCAATTGGCTTAGGACATGGTGTAATGGCAGGCTGAGGTCGTGCTTGCTTGAGGAAAAATTGCTGCAACAACATTACCTGCCCTTGAAATTGTTTGTTACAATAGAAAACATTTATCCTATCAGCTTACAGCTCCTTCTAAATGAGGTAGCAGCAGCACATCCTTAGCACTGAAACCTCTCATGGCACCATCATTCTTTCTTTTGTATGTGGGCACTATGCTTCATTCATAGTTTGAACTGCTTTGGAAGTCCCACCTGTTGTATGAAAGGGAAATACCTTTTAAAATAGCAGATGGTAAATGAAAAAATGCAGACAAAGTCTGTTTTGTGATAAGCAGAGTAGCCCACCATGAAATTGAGGGTGACCCTTGATCTGCAGTAGCTGCAATGCGAAAAGGAATGTCAAGTGTGGATTTTGGCAGAATCTGAAGAGATATCTACACTGAGGTATCAGCAGAAGTATTTAGTTTAAAATAGTTATTTTTGTGAATGTTTCAGTCTGACATGTTGGACTTTGAAGTAATTCATCTACAGAGCTCTGAGCTGCTGGTGCAGAATGGTGTCTGGTTTCTACTTCTCTTGGAGGTTTTTTATGATTTACTGGATTGTGTCGCTGCTGTCTTGCTTTGAATTATTTTATGTAGTGTATTAAGGGAATTTGAACTATATAGGTGATTCTTCTGTCATTTGTTCAAATCTAATTCAGTCAGTGTTTGCCAGTGACACTAAACAGGGAGTAGCTTTTATTGGCCTTTGTCAGGAAGCAGACCGGAGCTTTAGTCCTCATCGTGTGCTGCCGTGTGAGGATCCCATGGTCTCTGCGTTCCGTGACCGAGTCCTGGGGAGGCCAGGGGCTCACCCGTGCTCCTGTCCTGAAGGCAGCCTGGCAGCTCTGGCTGTGCCCGGCCGCAGGGATCCTGTTTGGCCCATGTTGGGAACGTGCTGCCCATTGGCTCCTCCTGAGCAGCAGCACCTGGAGAGCCCTGGGCAGTTGAGTCTGTCAGGGAAAGAGCTTTGCAGCTCGACAGCTGAGGACAACATGGGAAATACTTCTTGGTAATTGCCAGGCCTTACGAAATCGAGGTGTGGCTGTTCCTGCTGGAACAGCCTTCAGTGCCCTAATCCTACCCTGCTGCTGCCTGCAGAGCCCTTGGCTGAAGTGGTTCTAAAGGCAGGGACGTCTTACAGGGCAGAGTGAGCCCGTCTTGGCTCCGGGGGGCTGTTCTGGCATGTGGTGATGCACCTTTATAGGTACTGAAATGCATATTTCTCACAGCAGATTGCTGGAAGACAGAATCACCAAGGATGGTCACTGTTCCATGGTAAAGCCTGGCTAAAATGAAAGCTTTCCTAAATAGTGGACAGAGCTGGAGATGTACAACAGGAATGCTATAGTTGTATGGAATATCTGTAGCTACAGAGTGAATGGCATGGTCATGGATACTCCAGGAGCTGCTGCAGCAATCTGTTCTTACTCCCTTCTTTTAAAATACACTTTCATCAGATCAGAGCTTCACCTGGTGAAGTTAAAGCCTCCCCAGCTTACACAGTGCTTTGTAAACCAGACTCTGCAGCAGCATCTTGGAGCTTTCACCTGCTCTGGATGCAGGAGAGCTGGAAAGCTGCCAGTGTCTAACCACATATGCAAGAATATTCTTAATCCTCAGAATATCCCTGTTCCATAAGGACTGTGTTTGCAGGGACTCTGGAGTTAATTTGCTCTGTTAATTGACAGTTAACTCCTTCAGTGCTTTCTTATTCAGCCTTGTTAACCCATTGCCCAGCACTTGCAAACCAAAGCTGCTGGTTGTGTGGCTGCTCTACCCTCTTTTGTCTTTCTCTCATATTTGGCTTTTTTTCTTAATGATTTGAAGTATATTTCAGTGCAGATCTGCCTTATATAGTTTGTCAACACTGATGCATGAGCTTGGATAGGGAAACTGGCTTTCATTTAGAGAAGTCTATTGACTGCACTTTGGCCCATATTACTTGTACCCTCTTGAGCATTCCTGCTTGTTTTTTAAATTTACCAGTATTTCTTAAAGCATTTGCAAAACTGTTTAATTATTAGCATGTCACTGTCAGCTGAAGGATTTTTTCCATCTTCTTTTCTACCCAGTATTTGCTTAGTTTGATGCCTTGTGCTTGTGGCTGGGTTCACTTCAGTGAGAGAAAAATGGAGTGTGTGAACAATAGATAAAACTCATACTGGTTACAGTATTTCCATTTCTCATTAATTATAACCTGGAAATCCTCTCCTAAATATAGGCTTACTTGAGCTATTATTAACAATGGTTTTAGAGAAACCTCTTTGATTTGAAACAGTCTGTTCCCTTGTATTTGCTCTTCTGCTGAGGAAGTCTGTAACTCAGGGCTCTACTGAATTACTGAATGCAGTTCTTTTTCCTGCTGCTTTGCTGTGTCAAATTCTGTAAACCTCAATAATTTGCTCACATTTTGTGACTCAGGGTCCATCTTTATGTCAGCGACCCCACTGCTTTGTTAAAACTGGCTGCTGTGACACTTGGGGTTGTGCTAAGGTTGCCAGTTCTCAGGAGAGAAGATGGGCTTGGCAGAACTGCTGGGATGCAGCCCCTGGGCACTGCAGGCAGCCACGCTGGCAGGAGGCCTAGGACATGTTTATCCCTTGAATGTGTATGGATGTGTTTCCCTAGTGAGTGGATGGCAGATCTTCCCAGCTTTCAGGTGAAATACAAGTTGTAGGTGGCTTCACAGCCCCATAATTACAGCCTGAGAATCCAGAGGTTAATTTGTCCATTTTGGCTGAGTCCAGCTGTTACACTGGTGGGCATGTGCACAATGAATTGGCTTCCCTGGCAGTTCCAGTTGGCAAAAATGGGATTGTAACTTCTTAAAAATTGTGTCATGTTAGACCAAGACATTTTGTGACAAATGTCTGCATGATTGACTGTAATGTGATCCCAGCAGGCCTCCATTATTCCTTGCAAATAGACTGATATCATAGATGAAAACTGATTTGCTTTTATTTTAAGTATTTCTTCGGGGATTTACTTGTAACCAGTAGAAATACATTCAGTTGTCAGTTGAGTATCCTTGGTAGATGAGGCTGGGCTCAAAGAAGCAGGCAATGACACAAATGTGAAGACTGGGTTTTTGTTTAAAATCTTACCTTTCTACCCTGACAAAATTCCCCTTGGTACAGAGTGAAAATCTGAGCTGTGTCATGTTGTTCAGCTCACTGATCTGGATGAAAACTCACCCTTAGGAGGGATTAAATAAAAACTTACCCATATTTTTTCTCCTAAGCTGTCACACACATTTTGGTTATTGGGAAATCCTGGATATCTAAGTGATGATGTTTCATGATATTCAGGCAGTCTTGCACAGTCTTGCCCAAGCAGAAGTTTGGTTTGAGTGGGTTTTTGTCAGACCAAGTTGTAACAAGTCATGTTGTAGCCATGCCCTTTCTGAATTAAGACTCAAGGATCTTATTTATTTTATGCATTTCTTAGAAAACCCAGTAGAGGAAAAGTAGAGGTTTGTGTTTGGGGCACAGAGAATTCAGAGTTGTTTTGTTGCCTCTGTTTTAAAGTAGGTAGTCAGGGTTGTACAGGGGAGATGGCGTCCCTAGGACATGGAAACATTTCTTTGTGGTGGTGGTGGAAGTTGAGTGGAACTGGCGGTTGTGCCTGCAGAGGGATCTCTGCTTCCAAGGGGATGTGTTTGCAGTTGGCTCCTGAATGTATTTTGACTTTGATTAACCCTGGTAAGAAGAATGTCACTGTCTGGAAATGGTAGACAGTCATCTAGTGCATGCAGAGCTGCACAGGGGCAAACAGAGGCTTCTTTGGGGTCCTGGAGGGGAGATACTTTCTTGGGATTGGTGTTTTTCTGTTTGTTCTGCTATTTTTAATGAACTAATGATGTCTTGCATTTTGTAGCTCTGGCTATGGGCCTGTGTGTTGCAATGATAGCCTTTGTCCGGCTGCCGAGCCTGAAGGTTTCCTGCTTGCTGCTCTCTGGGTTACTAATTTATGATGTCTTTTGGGTAAGTGTTTGGTTTGGTTTTGCTAAAATTGGTTTTATGCTTTGGATTTGTAATCGGCCTTGGGCCTGTTTTACATGAATTGTACCGGTATGAAGGAAATTTCCTCAATACTGGTTTTGAGGAAATCTGGAAAAGCCAGAAGATTGGCTCCACCACTCCATTCTGAGATGCTGAATTCTACAACAGGATACAAAAAAGTTTCCTTGATAATTACTTAAAATAAAGCAGAAATAAGATTAGAATATTTTGAGTTCTGCATATTATAAAAAAAAAAAAAACCCTGAATTTGGACCTCAGATTTTGAAAGCTGGCTGAAGATGCAAACAAGCATTTCCCACACACACAGACAGAGCTGTGTCCACACTGGCACAGGGCACACGTGCTGACTCCTAATTAGCAGTGAAATCTGCAGAACAGGAATGCGAATGGACTTACAGCCAGACAGGGTGGCATAAAATCTTAGTGCACTTCTACAAGGAACCTGACAGAATGTGTTCTGTAATAGCAAGAGGGGTTTGTTTTACCTTTGCGTAACACCAAGCACTGATCCAGGGCAGCCAGAGATTCCAGTGGGATGGGCTGTAGCATCAAAGCCATAAAAGCCTGTTGGAGACAAGGGCTGCCTCATTCCATTTATGAGTAAGCACTGCACTCACCCTCTTCTCTGTTCTGCAGATCCCTTCCATTTTCATGGTGCTTTTATCTGCATTTGTCATCCCACACTATCTGCTTGTTGTCCAGACGGGTCCTTTGCCAAAGGATCTCTTGATATCAGAAAGTATATTCCAGTTATTCTTGAGGATTAAAAATTTCCATCTGAATTTTTGCAATACATTTTGCCTTTTGTCATCATCAGGAAAGTAGCCTTTATTTTCTTGAATAGCAAAGCAAAAATTCAGCTTGAGTTGCTGTGTAATTGCAGTTTGTGACTTCTGATTACCTTGCTCTGCAGGTCTTTTTTTCTGCCTACATCTTTAACAGCAATGTTATGGTGAAAGTGGCCACACAACCAGCTGATAACCCCCTGGATGTGTTATCCCGGAAACTTCACCTGGGACCAAATGTCGGCAGAGATGTTCCCCGTCTGTCACTGCCTGGCAAACTTGTATTCCCAAGGTAAAAGCTTCTTTTACTGTAGTACATGAGAAATGTTTTCCCTCCGTATCTTTACTAGTACTAATTCTGTTGGAAAATCAAGGAATGTAATGAGCAGTGAGGACTGGACACTTTGCTTACTCAGAGCAGGATGCACTTCTTGACATTTGTGAGAGTTCTGCAGCCTGATGATTGCTAGTGTGACCTCACATTTAAAAGAAGAAGATGTGAGGTTTAGTATAACATCAGAACAGTCTGAATTACTGTGTAATCGCAGATGACTGGGAAGGGGTTGGAAACTGATCTAAGCAAGGGTGGCTTACCAGGCAAGCGCAGTGCTGAAGGGAGATTATTCCACATGTCACTGCTCAGGGGTTCCCTGGTGGGGCAGTAAGCTCAGTGCAGCAGCAGGCAGGCAGTAAGTTTTGTTACTGTGTTACTGTTGATTTAGATGTTGAGATGCTGAAATTACAGGGATTAAAAGATCAGAGATTATCATTGATTGTCTGCAGCGATAAAATCAAAATTGTTTACTTTGTCAACTTTGCGATATGAAATCACAAAGTTGACAAAGTGAACAATTTTTCATGAAAAATATCTTCATTTTAAGATATAGATGATTTTTGTTCTTAATCTTTTTCACAATTGGCTCTTCTCTGAGAATCTGGCAAGACTAGTTTTCTGTTTTGTCTGAATGTCCAAAATGGGTGCACTGCCTTGTTTTAGATCTGCATGCATGGGGATGAAGATGCACTTTAATGGCAATCAAAAGATCAAAGGGCCAGCTGGTCCCTCCCATCAGCACTGAGGAGGGAGAGGACTGTAATACTGGGTCAGTGGATCTGTTTCATTAAGTGATTTAATGGCAAAGGCAGCTTAAACACTACTGAGAGAAGGAAACTGGTTTGGAGCAATGTCATCCCTGCCCAAATGGGTTTGAGTACAGCTGAGGAAAACCTCATTAGCCAGCATTGGGTTCATGTGCAAGTTTGCCAGTAGAGAGGCTATGCCAAATGAAGCTCAAAACCACAGTGGAGGAGTCTAGAGCTCGTCACGTTTTGTTTTGACCATGAACCCAATTCCAGTTGCTCTTTAGTTCCACAGGCAGCCACTTCTCCATGCTGGGGATTGGAGATATTGTGATGCCAGGGCTTCTGCTCTGCTTTGTCCTGCGTTACGATAACTACAAAAAACAAGCCAACAGCGATTCCTGCGGCGCCCCAGGACCAGGGAACATCTCTGGGCGCATGCAGAAGGTCTCCTACTTTCACTGCACACTTATTGGCTATTTTGTAGGTGAGTAATTAGTTCAATATTAAGAGCTGTCTAAGTGAGCAGATGTGGGATTATTGTAGTAGGTTTAAAAGATGATGAAAGCAAGTGTAAAGAGGCTTTGAGAGGATGCTTGGTTATGTTCTTTTTAATCCTCCTCTCTTTGCTTTTATTGGCATAGTCTAGGGAGAAAAAGCCCTTCTATAGTCTTCAAGATTTTTTTTTGGTAGCTATTGTATTTTATTTAGAGGATGAAAGAGAGTATCGGTGTGCTTTTGTTAGCACTTGCACTTTGCTTCACTGGCTTAAAAAGTGTTGTAGCTCATACCTGAGTGATGGGGAAAATATGGAAGTCTCCAGATAAATTATGCTGTGCATACTACATAGCAAATTTAAGCAATTCACCTAGGCAATTCCTGCATTCTTGTATTCTGATCTTGACATAGTAGTACATACAGAAAATCATCAATAGTTACAACTGGAGTGCTTTTTATAATTTGCTGTAGCCAGCCCTTTTCTGCCTAATATAAAACAGGCTCTTCCCTCCAGCCAGGGCATGCATGTGCATATCCTGACCTCCCACGGCCCTTCTGAGGCTGAAAAGGCAAGATAATTTCCTACCAATAGCCTTTCTTCCCCCACACCTTGATTTCCCCCCTACATTCCCTTCTGGCAAGTCTCCAGGAAAGCAATTCCTGATGAATACAGCCCTTCCTCTGAGCCCTGGCTGCTCAGGCCAGGGGCCACAGACCAGCAGTCTCGAGCAGCATTTCAGTGCCATGCAGTCTGCTTCCCCCTCCACCTTTTGCTGTATTTTTTCTGAATTATTCTTGGCTTAGTTTGAGATCCAAAACTGGACCAAGTGGTTCAACACAGCCTAATACTAAAATAGAATAATTTTTCACTGTTTTGTTGTTTTAACTGCATTCAGGGAAGGCAAAGCACAGAGAAGTAACTTTTCCTCACCTCTCAGAATGGGGGAGAAGGAAGCCTCAGTGGATGAAATGCTGAGAACATCCACCTGCAAACTGAAGATATTTACAGTGACTTTTTTCTCTTATAGGTTTATTAACTGCAACAGTAGCTTCTCGTATTCACCGGGCAGCCCAGCCTGCCCTGCTCTATTTGGTACCATTCACTTTATTGCCACTCCTCACCATGGCCTATTTAAAGGTAAGAGGGGAGGACACGGGGCAGCAGGGTCAGTGTCCTTGCACTGGCAGCAGCTCTCAGGAGGATGATGTGTGTCCCTGACAGTCCTGGCCCAGCACAGAGTAACCACTGCTCTTGGGTCAGTCTTCTTTTCAGAGCACTGAGCAAGTGAGAGATGAGTTCCTGAAGTAGAAGATCATTAATGCAGATAAAGTACCAGTAGTTCTAATCAAATAAATTCTGAAATACGCATTTCTGTTTTAATTGAATAAGTGAATTTGTCCTTGTCCTGTTGGTCATGAAATACCACATGCACAAGTTTGAACAGTGATTGGAGAGGCAGAACCTTGCTTGCCTCTTTTTAGTCACCTGTTCTGAACAGAAATTGTAAAATTTAATTTTCCTGTTCCAGGGCTGTTGTTGAAGCATGCATCTAGCACTCTGCAGAGCAGAACATAAGAAAGGGCAGGATTTTCAACATGAGTAATTATTTCCTTCCCATCAGAAACCTATTTTGGCTTTATCTGCTCTAAAAGACATTCTGGCCTGACAGGGAAAGGATTTATTTTTACTGTCTTTATTGTAATTTGCAAAACGGGTGAAGAATACATTTGCTCTAAGATGTGTTTGCAATTCTGTGTGCATTTTAAAATGTGAATTCTAAGCAGAGTTGAGTGTTTCTGAGGGCACGGTCCTTGTGCTGTTTCCCTGCCTAGGGCGATCTACGTCGCATGTGGTCTGAGCCTTTCCACTCCAAGTCCAGCAGCTCCCGTTTCCTGGAAGTATGATGGAACAGACAGGAAGTGACCTGAACTTCTGCCTTGGTCCTTTTCACTTTAACTTGTGGCTTTGTTGTCTCCTAAAGCTGGACTGGCTGGTACTTGGGAAGGTACCAGCGATGGGACACGTATGAAAGGACTTTGTATTAAAGGAGTGAAAGAAACAAAAGCTGAAATCCCAGAGCTCCGTGTGACTCCGTATCTCCCTGCAGATGTGGAACTGGGGACCCTTTGTGCAACTGCAGCCACTTTCCTCTTTTCCTCACTCAGATGGATTAGTACCAGACTATTACCTTTGTGAGAGAGGAAGAGACAAGACTTGAAACTAAAAACGGCTTGAAGTCGTTCAAAAACTTGTGAACACTAAACGCAAAAACAGTTCAGCAAACCGAGGCTTCTTCAGAGAACCCCTCATGGACATTGGGACCAGTTTCCTGCGGGACTTCGGTTTTGAAAAGAACTGAGACAGAAGGTCTTCTGTCACAATATTGGGTTTTTTTGATTTATTAAATATTTCCTGTGGTGTGAGGTTACTTATTAAATCCACAGACATCGAGTGACTTCTTGCAGTATACATATAAAAATTTGTTGTAACAAGTTACATTTCCACCCAGATGTCATATTGCAGTGAAAAAGGGCACGATTTTTATACATATATATATACACACATATAGATATATATATGAATAAATAAAAAGGAAAACCTGCTAAGATCATGCTGTGTAGCAGACAGGGGCTTGCTGTAATTTTTAGCATGTAGCGCAGTTACTCTGGCTTTATGTATATGGATCTACAATGAGCTGCTGTTTTTCCCCCCTCCTACAACTGAACCTGCAGTTTAAAACCAAGTGTAGTATTTGTACTGGTTGTACCATGAACTTTAGGGGATATTTGATTTGATCAATGTAGCAAACTAGGGAAGAAAAAAGTTCAAACTCAGCCCTGTGTGTCTGAGGGGGGAGGAGGTGGGGGTGTCTTTTTCCTTTTTTTTCCTCCTTTTTTTAATATTTTTTTTTCTTTTTACAAACAGCTCCCTTGCAGGTTTTTAGTAGTTCCTTCTTGACCAGTGCATGTATTATAGCAGCAATTGTCTTTGTGCTTTCTGATCATAGTAATGTATCACTTGTAAATACATTTTTTCTATTTTCTATTTTTTTGTATTTTTTGCATTTTGTTTCATTAGTGTGCTGTATTTTTCCATGCCCCTGCCCCTCAAAGAAAAAAAAAAAAGAAAAAAGAAAAACTGTCCTTTACTGTTGTGACTGGTTGGAATTTGTTTTTTTTGACTGCTTTCTACCTGTAGCCTGTTAAAATGTGGATTTTTGTCTTTCTTTTCTAAAACCAGCAGTTCCAGTTGTTACTTTATTGACTGAAAGGTTTCCCTGAGGTAACTAAACTTTTTTTCCTTTCAAGTACTGTGCCAAGCGGGGTTTGGGGAGCTCTCCTGAGAGCTCACAGCTCTTGTTAGGTGACAGATGCTGGGAAGTGTTAGTGGCACGGGATAAGGAGGAATGTTGGAGACTGACTCTGAGCACTGAGGTGACTTTGGGACTGGTTTCGTTCCAGGTAAGGGAGGGGTTGATCAAACACCTGAAGCCCTCAGCGCTGTTGGTGGTACAAGAAGAGCATATTGGACATGGCAGGAAATTTTGTCCAGCCACATGTGTGCTGTCATTAATGTCATTAATTAACCCCTTCCTCTGTTCTCAGGCAGGTCTGGCACAGGTGGCAGGGGCCCTGATGCCTCTGAGCTGGCTGGGATGCACTTCCAAGACAGCTGGAATGTCCCAGGATAAACAGTAAGACACAGCTCAGCCATGCTGGGGGAGGGTTGGTGGTGATGAGATTTAGCAAACATGGGTGGGTGTGGCAAGGGGGACACTGGGACATCATCTCTCTTTCACACACACTCCCCCTGAGTTCTTTTCTTTCCCTTAGCTGAAAGCATTCCCTCTACCATGTGCCTGCAGTGGTCATCCTCAGGTAACTGTATTTTTTTAAATGAAATTAATAGTTTTTCATGAGAATCTGCTTTTTCTGTTCATGACAGGTGTCAGGTCCCAGAATTGCTTGGGACAGTAGAAAGGCATCAGTTTTGAGCCTCAAACATGAAGTGAATAAAATACTGAGGTGGGTATTCAAATAAAAAGGGTTTTTTTGCAGTGGAGTAACAAATTCAGCTTCACTTCATTGCAGCTTTATCTGCCTAGCCTTTGCACCTACCTGACAATTGTGCACAGCTCAGGCGCCATCAGCTTCACAGCAGTTCCCTCCTTTAGAATTATTTCTTTGTAATTCCTCTGGAATTAAAATACAAGGTCTTTCTCTGTTTTGCAGCAGCATTTTTAGGCCATACCTGCCAAGTGTCTTTATGAACAATTTCTACAGTTAGAGAAGCATTCTGGAGAAAGTTCTAGAAGTGCTAATTGATAAATACTTCATGAGAATTAATTTAGCTTCCCCAAAAATGCCTGGTCTTCCTTGTTAAGCTGTCTTGCCTCCCTGCACTCTGTGCCCTTCTCTTGCACCAGGAGACCTGAGCGAGCCCTTACTGAGCCCTCTGTCCCTGCCCCTCATATTGTGCTGGGTCCCACCCAGGTGAGCACCCACTGCACTGGAAAGGGTTTACTGCCCCTTCAGCTGGCAGGAAAAGGATTTTGGTGCTTGGCAGAGGTTCACTGAGGTTTAACTGTACTAAGAAAAAGTGCTTTCCCAGAGCTTTAAGTTAAAGCTGCAAAGCTCTGTTCCACAGCTCTCCTCAAACCATTCAGGGGGATTAGAAATGGATCCTACCTGGCTGCTCAGCTGTGGGCTCTCCCTGTACAGATGGACCTTTGGTCTATGTCTTTCCAGTCTGATGTGTCTCCTCTGCTTGAGGATCAAGCTGTACAGGGTACTTTGGGTCCTCTGGATTTTGGGAGACTGTGCAGGACCTGGGTTCCTGTCCCCGTTGGCTCTGGTACAGCTGCTGATGCCTTCTTTGTTGAGCACCTTAATGCACTAGGCACAAGGTCCTGCAGTGAGACTGCCCAGCTGCCTGCCCCTTCTTCTAGAAAGCTGCCAAAAATAACTATTTTAATAGCTGACTAATATAAATCTCCTTGCAAGAGGTAAAAAGCTGGCAAAAAAGTGATAGACCAGAGCATGCTTACAGCACAGTTGTTAGGACACGGACCAGAGCTGTTGTGTAAAAATCTGCTGACAGGTCTGGTACTCTGCTGCATCTTTGAGAACAGTAAGCTTAGAAATGGTCCTGTTTGTATGCTGATATTTCCCTAAGGTCAGACTTCACCTTACAGACATGATGAATTCCAAAATTTGAATTTGAAATTAGTTTTTTCATTCAAGTAACAGCACTGTCACATTTTCTTATCACTATTCCATGTCTATTCTATTATTCTTCCAGGCACTTTGCTTTTTTACTTCAGGATGTTTTTCAAATATACTATTTTCCATATTTTTCCCAAATTCCAACATAACCTGAATGCATGGCTGTTGCCAGGTCTGTGTTGAGAGTGAGGGCTCTCAACTTAGGTGAAACAAAGATCTAATTTAAAATCAGAATAAATTTGTCTTTTTTTTCAGATCAGCTCATCTCCCTTTAGTCTGTAGGGAACTCACAAGGAAGAGTCTGAGCTACATGATACAAAAGCTATCAGGTCTAGGGCACGGCAGAAGTAACTCCTAGTTACTGTAACTATGTTTTCTAAGAAAGGATTCTAGTTCAGCCTCCACCTGCTTCATGCCTCATAACCAGTTTCACGTACTCCTAGAGCATTATGGGGCAAAACCACAAAGTCCTTGAGAAGTGTAGCTTTTGTTATTGAAAAGTGACTTATCTCCTTCCCCACTTGTTTCTAATTTATGTATAACCTGATTTTCCCATCTCTGTGCCCCAGCTTTGCAATGTTAGCTGTTTGGCAGTTGAGAGAAAGTTGGGGCTTCATGTGTGAACAGACCCTTTTCTCCAAGGAGAGCCTGGCCCTGCCCATGCCTGGGTTTGTGCTGTCTGAGGGTGGCTTGGTTAAAAGCTGCTGATTTAATGCTGCAAAACTCGTTTGTGTTTTGCCCTTTCAGCAGTTCCTCTGCAACAGCCCTGAGGAGCAGACACACTCTTCACACAAAGTTCTCTCAGCAGGCAGCAGCAAGGAGCAAGCTTGAAGTATCTTGCTCTGAGTAAAACCACTGCTTTGCTCCGGGAGCTCTGGGCCATTGTGTGTGCAATCATCCTGTTTTACCCCCAAAGCAGTGCAGTGGCACAGGGCACTGAGTGCTCTTGCTGAACCTTGTGGCAGCAGGGAAAAACTTTCAGAACTTTCAGAAAGCTTTTGCACACTTTTTTTTTTTTCTACCTCAAGTTTGTAGGTTCTCTCTCCACTGAGGTGGTCACAGCCAGCACGGTGGGTGACAGGGATGGTTTCATTCTGCTCTGCAGAGAAACTGTAGCAAATTAGAGCTGGTAATGAGGGAGGCTGAGGGTGAAGAGGGACATCAGCAAGCACTGACAGCACAGCAGATCTAAGAGAAGCACCTGGACGAAAGGGGAAATGGGCTGGCAGAAGTGTGACTGACTGTGCTGGCTCACTGGGGATTCAGCTGGAGCTCAGCATAACAGGAACTGCATTGCTGAAGTCCTCACATCCCTGCAGGTCCTGTTCTGAGGGGCTGCAAGGAGAAGTTAAGTGTAAAATAGTATCTCCACATCTTCAGGCACCATCACTGCAGCAATCAAAGAGGAAATATAGGCTGAAATCAAGCTTCATCCAGAGAAGCCCTCCATAATTTACAGTACATTCAAGGTCACTGGAATGATTTTCCAGTAGTAATGCTCCTGTTGAATGCACTACCTGGCAAGTTCTGTCAATCCTTATGCCCAGTAGAACAAGGAGAAACTCAGTACTTGAGGCCCTTGCCCCAACATGCTGTTGCCCTCCAGCACTCTGCACAGGGACGACTGACCTCACTGAGAACTGGTCTCACTGGTGCATGCAGGCCCTACTGGTTTCTGCTCCTGCATCTTGGGACTTGAAGAAATTACTCTAATTCACATTTGCATTTAAAAATAAAGAGTGATGGTCCTTTAAAATCAGGTTTTATTTGTCTTCTCTGCTTGCTCGTGTAACAGAATCCTGCTCTTCTTCTCTGCACACAAGTCTAAATTAATGGCACCACAGGAAAATAACCATTTCCCTCTAGTGTACTTCTTTGGACAAGGAGGCAGACCAGGCCATATAGGATCTCATCTTAATCCTCTCCCTCTTCTTCTGAGTTTAGAGCTTTTCCTTTGGCTGTTGATGCTCCTAAAGTTAATGTCTTACCAATGATCACTGATTGAGGATGTGCTACTGCTAAAGCTTCCTGGTGAGGTTTGCGTGTCATCTCTTCATTTCCTCGTTGCCCAAAACATGTCAAGATTAAAAGTTGTTAGTGCCCTATCAGGCACTTCCTTTCCTGATGATACTGCATAAACAGATTTGGGAGCAGAGGGGTTTTTTCGTTTGGTTGGGTTTTTTTATAAAATAGTCCTAGGCACTGCATCTTTGCTTTCTTTTGCTTCTATCCCTACATCCCAGAGCAGCTGCATGAGCAGGTGCTGGGCCCTACTGGCCCAGATCGAGGAATTATTTGTGTTTTCAAATCTGCATACAGCAAATACAGTCTCTGCTCAGATTCTTCTGTGTGGGGGTTGTCCCTGCATGTCCTCCTGTCTGGCTCCTCTCCTGCTGCAGGGATTATCTCAGCCTGGGCTGTCCCAATAGGAGCTCACAGACAGCTGCATCCCACACCTGAACTCCACTGAAGTCTGATCTGCAGAGGCACACGACCAGCAGCCTGAAGCAGGGCACAGGGGTCATGGCTCTCAACATCTCTTAACTCTGGCACTAGTTATCCACTGCCATGTAGTGACAAATTTAGCGAAACAGGCAGTGGCTGGCAAGTGTTGTCATTTTGCCACTACCAAGCCATTCAAACAGTCCCATTTAGCAAAAGCCTCAGGCTGCCCTGTGAGCACAGGTTGCCTCCTCCCTCCTGCACTCACAGCCATCACATAAAAACCTCAGTCCAGGCTCAGTGCGCCACACTTTGTCCAAAGAAGAATCAGCACATTTTAACTAGAGGGTCAGTTAGCCATTGGTGAGGAAAACCTCC